GGGGGGGGGGGGGGGGGGGGGGGGGGGGGGGGGGGGGGGGGGGGGGGGGCATCGCGCCCCACGCACGCACCTCGAAGCGGCAGATGCGGTCGAACGGCCAGCCCGCGTAGTAGTAGAGCGCGAACACGCAGTGCGCCAGCACGGCCAGCGCCAGATGCCTCCTGGCGAGCCTCGCCACGCGGCCGCTGTTGCCCGGTGGCTGCGGGGTCCGCCACGCCTTGACGAAGAGCCACTTGTCGGACCAATACGACAACGCCAGAGAGAGGAGGCCGATCCACATGGCGATCGGGAGGACGGGGGCGTAGGCCAGGCAAGCGAAGACTGTCTTGGTCATGTCCGTATACCTGTTGGGCGCAGGGGAGGGGGTTTACTCATGTAAGTGCATGCCGTCGTCGTTTGTAACCATGGGGGAAAGCAGGACGCCATTTCTCGAGCACTGTCGATGAGATACCTCGCCCGACCGCTCCAGCACAAAAGCCCGGACAGGTTGGATGAAAACGGAAAAAATAAACGCGCCATGCATTCAACACGAAAGACGACAAAAAATCCTGCCAAGGGCCGTGCGAAAACAAGAGCCAGCACACAACAGCACCAAGCTTCAAAACTACCTGTCGGAGAGGTGGAAGCGCGAGCCTTCCAAGTGCGAGTCCATTGCCGCCTGCAGCACCTCCTTCTTGGCGAGGACGCTCCTGGACCACCTGTCGAGCCGACAACAGCGAAAAAAAAAAAGCAACCCACCGGAAGGGAGAATGAGCAGGCAGGCAAGGCGCAGAAAGGACGGCGGTTGTTTTAGAACAGAACCTCAACGGACAACAAGACCAGAAAAATATGCACCCGTGTGTGTGTGCTGTGAACATTCACGTACGCCCCCCCCCCCAGTCCCCCAGCGCACAGCGGCGCTAGCCTTAGCGGCAGAGGACGTCGATCTCAAAACACACACAGACATCATCATTTTTGTTTTTATCCGCAATGACACTGACGTCTGTCCACCGGTCAGCCGGGTGCTGACAGCAAAAACACACACAAAGGACAAGAGCTAGCGGTGAGTCAAATCCAGAGAAAAACCCCAACACCGCTAGCCGATGCAGCCAGACGCGTAACACGATCAACACCACATCCACATCAACCAATCCGCACCCGTGAACAAAACGATGAGCGAAAAGCGGAATGGCACATCCCTGGTCCAATACCGCAAATACAATTAAGGAGGAGGAAATCATCACCGACCTGCCGCGGATATCCAGCAAGCGGATTAACGTCGGGACGAAGGCGTTGAGCCACAGCACCGTCACCACCAGCTCAAGGTTGTTCTCGGTCAGAGTCCCCAGGCGGTCGTTCAGCCAGAAGGGGATGCCCGCGAGGTTGGCCCAGCGCGCCAGCGTAAGCTAACAAAGCAGCAGCAGCAGCAGCAGGGACGCACAAAAGGGTTGTGCAAGGTAAAAAGATGCGTTGAGAGTATACCTGCGCTAGCAGCAGCGGCAGCAACAGCAGCAGCAGGATCGCGTACCAGGGTTGCGGAAGCAAGAAAAGAAGTAAAGCACATTCAGCACACACGGAGCCGCAGCGCAATACGGCAAAAGCATATCAATTTACGTAGAAAGTGAGCCAAACAAAGGGCAAAACGAAAACAAAACAAGAATCATATACAAGACCTGATCCCTTGAGCACGGACCTTTACACGAAGACAACGATTCCCACCACAACACAGACTGCTGTTCTCGGACAAAAGGGGTCCCTGAAAATAGCCTTCAGTGCAACCACCAGGTCGGTGATGATATCTGCTCCCCCCGACGACTCGACTAACCTTGTTCATGACACTCAGGTCGTGCGAGATGGAGTTGTGGTGCTTCTCCACGGAACAGATGAGGCGCACCAGGGGAGGCAGGACGACGTCCACGACCGTAATCACCAGCGCCGTCGCGACGACGCCGACGGTCTCCAGCTCGCGGGCCGCAACGAACGAGATGATGACGATCATGGTCGTCAGCACGAACGTCAGGACCTTCGCTCGGAGCAATACCCGGGCGGGGGGAGGGTGTGTGTGTGTGTGCTTTTATTATTAGCATCGACCGCGCTAACCGGCTGACCAATGAAAAGACGTCAGTCTCAGTGCGGCGGGAAACACAAAATGTTTCTATAGTCCACTATCTGGGACCCCGGGACCGAGCGTTGTAGGGGGAGTGTGTGTGACGCCAGATGAACACCGGGGATATACCACATACCTCCATGGAAGGCATCGACGCATTCTGGCATTTTGGCGCTGCCTAGACAATCTACAGCCAAAGCTAGATCAGAGGATGAAGTATCCATCTTCTGTATCACCATCATCTCCATCACAGCATGCCAAAACCGCAAAACAAAAACAAAAACATGCCCATGACCGCTCTGATCGCACGACACATGAAACACCGCGGTACATGCCTGTGCAGGGGCTCTCTGGATGGTACATCCACATCAGCAGGTTACGACAAACAAAACACGCCAATCTACCGCACCTGTGCCGCGATCCTGTGGATGGCGCCGATGTGAAGGTTCTCGTAGAGCACCTCCGAAGCGGGTGATGCCGGCATCACGTGCAGCGCCGTCTTGAACCCTGGTTCGCCGCATCATGAAACCGTGGGCGACCAACCCNGGGGGGGGGGGGGGGGGGGGGGGGGGGGGGGGGGGGGGGGGGGGGGAGAGAGAGAGACAGCGGGTCAGGGCCACGAAAGGGCATGTCATGTCTTGCTTTGGCCCCCACCATCAGGCTTGCGTCGTTCTACAGGCCCATGCAGGCAACGGGTCAGCCAGGACTTCCGTAAACAAAGGCAACAAGGCAACACGCACTTGTCAAAGAGACATCGATAAAGCGAGCCTGACAAAACTTGCGCCCCCTCAAGGCTCCTCACAAAAAATTCCTAGCGCCCGCCCCCGACCTTCCAAATCCCTCTCCCCAAAAAACAATGCATATGCAGAACCAACTCCAACTGCAGAGAAAAACAAAATACTGGACATGTTTGGTGTGTTTTTCTTGCCGTCTGGGTTGGTGTACATGTGCTGCTCCTCCGGGGTGTCGAGGATACCGCGGCTCATGTGGGACAGACACCGCGCCTGGCTCAGATCCGATTCGAACGTCACGAAAACCTGCACGTGAAACAAATCGAAGGATGAAGCGTTCATTGTGCACAGATTCTGACGACGTGAAAACAGCACCGGGAAATGACCGACTCCCTCTCCCTTTTCTGTGAATTTTATTATTCTTTCGCACCCTTCCTTCCCGATACGATCTCCGTCGACACCTTCCCTTTTTTCCTCTTTTCGCAAACGCCTCACCTTCACCACAGGCAGCCCCTGGACGTGCATGCCTTTCATGATCTCGCCCTCCACTCGCTGATGAGCGTCCCACAGTTCCCGCGTCCAGAACTTCGTGTCCTGCTTACGCAACGCCATTACAGTCCAACCGCACACACATGCACACCGCGCTCAGACTGGCGTCGTTGTTGCTGCCCTTCACACGAAAAGTATAGCTGTGTGCCTTCTACAACATCAGCACTGGTCCAACTGACGCGGATGCACTTTGTCCATCTCACCATGCCGAAAAGAAAGAGCACACAGACACACACAAGATTAAGCTCGCAGAAACGAAATAAAAAACAAACGCTCAGGATGTTTGTTCTGTCGAGAGTGTCGTCGCCCCAGCTGGCAGGTGTCTAAATCAAGTAGCGGGGTCGATGCTGCCAAGCAACACACGCGCGTGGGCGCGCGCTTACAGGACAGGATAACACACGAACTAAACCGAAGGACGAGGCACAGTTGTAACAGACAAAATTAAAGACTGTGGTCATATGTCCAAAGGGGACAGAACACGTCCGCACTTCAGAACCCAGGAGTGGTAAGAACTCGAGCCTAAAAAAATCAAGATTTAAGAACTTGACCACCATTGTGAGCTTGGTTAAGAACTCCTACACTGAGACCTATATCGCGGCCATTCGAAGCATGACCCTTAGAATACATCAACAACCTCACCCTCGGAACTAGAGGTTCTTGAGGGCGGGCGTATCCCGTAGTCCTTGTGTCATTGTATAAAAATAAATTTATCTAATGAGGCAACACACGCTTCGTCGCTACCGTACCCTGAAGAAACCGAAAGGCCGCAAAAACGCCTTCCACCATCCTCCAGCAACCGGGGCGGGCGGCTCCTTCGTGTCCACCGACCTGTACGCCTCCACAATCTACAGCAGGGGGCCAACACAAAAAGCAAAAAACGCGCGGCGGAGCGACGGAACAGAATTTGCTTGCCAGACTTGGCTTCATGGACTGAACGCAGTGGAGGCTACCTCCAAAAACAAAATAAGAAGAAAAAAAAAGGCCGCGCACAGCGAGTACAAAAATAATGCAATGCCAGGGCTAGCTATAAATAGCTGCATGGGAGGCCACCATCGATGTGTGCGTGTGTTCCGACATGTGAAATCATCTGTTGCTCTAGCTTAAGAGACCACGGCAACTTGTTTTTTTGCCTGGGAGGAGAGGCCACTAAGAGGTACCGTCTACGGAGGTCACACCGGTTCAACACGTCAATAACCAGCAAGAGACCATAAAAACTCTACAGCAGAGAAAAAAACCAGTGAGATTCCACGGACAGGCGCTCGAACTCGTCTATGTATCCAGGTCTTCAGCACGATTGCGCCATGACAGGCACGAGACATCCATCTCTCCACACACGCCTCTCGTCATCTGTCCTCTACAAGCTCGCCCGAGACCGGGCCAAGCACTCTACATAAAACAAGAACATGGCACGCCGGTCGTACTGCTGTACATACTCGCGATTCTACGTAATTCACCTCCGCGACATCGGGCGTGCTGGTTTCCAGCCGGCGGCCGGCGGCCCTGCGATCTGCCATCGCCCGCAACAGCGCCCCGTTGCCGCGAGCGACGGTCACGTAAGAGACGTGCCCGAACTGGGCGAACAGCCTCCTCCACCGGTCGGGGTCGTCCGCAAGGGGGTCAGGGCTTGACACCTTCACCGTGTATGGCTGGGCCGAGTGGATCTGCGCGCAAAAAAGTCATGAGGTTTGAGTTAATTGCTACCAAGCCTGACTGATGTCCGGGAGATCCGAGACTCCTTCGTGTTTCGAGGAAAAGCACTGCTGCCGTTGTGAGTGTTTCGCTACTCTATCCTAAACGTCTGATTGATTTGCGGGAGATAAAGAGATGAACGCGTTGTTTTTCCTTGGAAGCGAGAGATCGAAACAGAAACAAAATGAAAGACTAGCGAGCAGTAGCGAAGGAGGAGGAAGCGGCCTACCATGCTTTTCTTACGTACCAACTAGAAGATTCATCGTGGTGCTTCGGCACGTCTTTCACCGACCATGACCTCTTAAGTCGACCCCAGTAGGCAAGTCACCCGACTCCCGAGAGGGAACCCTGGTACGTATCACACGGTGACACGACTGCTATCAACGAGTCTCGCTTATCGCCTCTATTTGTTGCCGCCTTCGGTGTCAAAGAACATGCATCGCATGGTCTTCCTGTGCTGCCCTGCTCACGAGCGATACCATCCGCGTCCACGTAGCGGAACCCCCCCCGCCCCCTCCCAACGATACATACACGCGTTCGATTCAAGCGCGGGCATGGTTCAGCCATCACTTTTCCTGGCCAACCAGCACCCAAGTCACAACCTGTACACTATCCAATCGCTCAATAGATAAGCACACATCACCGGCGTTGCCTGACCAACCAGCAACCAAGCCAAAAGGCAAACCATCCAATCGCTCAACAGATGCGCGCATAGCGCCGGCGCTGCCCGCACACGCACACGCGAGGGCGCCTTCGCGTTGCCAAGCGACGCTACAACGATCTTCCTTGTCAGCCATGTACAATATACCACCGTCAATGCCACCGACACCTGCCCCGCTCCCTGCCAATCCTACTATTTAGATAGATACGGCCGGTTAGCCTTGGAATTAAGAGCCATTGTTTAAGCTGCTGTGAGCGCTGATAGAAAACCCATGAAAAAACAAACGCACAACACAAGAAATGATGTCAAACCTGCGTCGCGGTGTACTCGGCGGCCTTCTCCTGCGCCTTCCCAAGGAGCAGCAGCAGCATGAACAGCAGCAGCACGCCCGCCATGTCGGCGTAACCCTGCTTCGAGTCGAGGGGGCAGTCGTTCCTGTCGAACGTGTCCCTAAAGTCCCAGCTATCCCGCGGGTAGGCCAACACCTGCTTGGAGGCCGTGCAAACCGCGGAGCCCCTGAGGTCGGCCCGCACTCCCGCCTGCCAGCCGGTGCAGCAGAAAAGGGGGGGAGGGGGGGGGGGGG